TGTTCACTCGAGGGAAACCAACCAGGGTCACCACGTCTCTCTTCTCTCCCATCACATGCACTCAACAGCATCCTGCCCTTGAGGCGTCGGGGGCATTTTGCCTGCAGAAAGCCCCACAATGGATAGAAGCTCTTTGCTGTTGGGCCTGGTCAGCCACTGACACTGGCGGAGGTTTCTTCCACAGTCCTGCAGTGGAGAATCTCCTCCAGCTTCATCTGGATACAGCAACGGAGGGACCGCCCTGGTGTCTGCACTGCTGCAGAGCACAAGTGGAGCAGAAGAGAGATGTGGGCAGACGGCATCAATGAAACAGGTTCCAGAGACATCCAAAGGAGTCACCGCCAAGGTCACAGCTCTGTCTCTACATTTCTTGAACTCATGTTGTGAGCATTTTGACTTAAAAGCAATGGAGCTATAACAGCAATGGCACTATAAACCCACTCAGACCAGTTTAATCTCACCAGCTGACTGGGACCAGTGGAGAGAGGATTCAGCATTGCTCCTGTTCCAGCAAGCAGTTCTTCCTCTGTGAAACCTTCCACCCACAGCCACATCAGCCATAACAGCTATGAAAAAGCCATTCAACAAAGTCCAAGCACATTCAAAAGGTGCTTTGACTTTCAAACACATCTCCTTGACCCTGCAAAGCTCCTTTCCCACCCTAGAGCTGCCCAAGTCCCCAGCCAGGCTGCAGCTACCAGTGACCGTGCAAGTTCTCTGACCAACACCATTAAACCACAGGAGGAAACCAGAAGCACCTTCTAGCAGGGGCTCAACGTGGGAAGTTTTCATTGCACACAAGGAGGAAAAGAAGGGCCATCAGTAACTGGCAGTGCCCCGATACACCGTTCCTCCCCGCTGCTGGGAGCGGGGGCGATGCTTGAGCAGGACTGGGGAGACAGAGACCAAACCCCGACCGATCACACACAGCTGAGAGTTTCCTTCAGCTCACAGCACAAATGCCTCTGAACAAATGCTCCCTGGGCAGCAAAAGGCTAAAACTTGACTCCTGGAGCCCTTCTAAATTTCATGCCCTTGCTTCAAAGCGAGAAGAAAACAGCCATTCCCAATGACATGGAAATAAAGAGTTCTCCAATTTATATCATGTGGGCAAAGCAATATATTTTCACCTAATCTCCCTCTTGGAAATGGTCAGTTTTAGCTGAAATCAAACATGCACGCATAGAAAAATCGCAAATCAGCCCAAGGCAGTCACCCAGCATGGAAACTTAAACCCCAGCACATAAGAGTCTGGCAAGGTCATCAGCAACCGAGAACATGGGCACGTACTGTGTGGTAGTTGTAAATTTTTAAAAGTGCGTAACTCACTGCCCTGAGGCAGATGAAAAGACAAACCTACTAAAAAAACTACACATACTGAAGTGGGTAAAATGTCTTTACCTGTGTCTTGCCTCATCTCTGCTGCTAGGCTTACACGGGAAAACTTTCAAACTTTACAGCTGTTAGTATCCAGCTAATTAATGACCTTGTTTTCTCTCTGTACACATATATAATTATCTACATGGACATACGTGCAAAGAGAAAGATCTTCATTGTTTACAATTATTATTTTTTTAATACTACAGGGGAATTGGGATCTGCCTGCAGTTCCTGTAAGGTCAGCATTTGCTGTATCGATTGAGCATTATCCCCACGAAAGGGGAAAATCGGGCAGGGGAGCGCTCAGCTGTGGATGCTGTGCTCAGAGGTGCAGGACTTGGCTCAGCCCATGCATCTGCAAATCCTGTTTATGCCACAGGCAAACACCGCTCTGCTAGTGCCTGGCACACCCCCCCAGGCCTCCTGCTTGATGCTGAAAAAGGACATTTCATCATCCAGCCCGTACATGAGATGTTCCTGACAGCACCTGCCCTTTGGGAGCCTCTCCTGGGGTGCGGAGTGAGGAAGCGGTCCAAGCTGGTGGCTTTCCAGCACGCTTGCAGGGGACCAGGGCACACCGCTGGGTCTCGGTGACAGGGTGATGCCCCCACGGAGGTGGCAGCTTCCCACCACCCCTAGACCCCTTCCCCTTATGCGGTCACCCTCTCTCCCCACTCACAGGGGAAGGCAATGCTCCTGCCCCTGGGGGCATCCTTCATCCCTGAGCTCACGATGCCACCAGAGGCATGGGGACACGTTCTCACACAGGCTGCGCTAACCCCGCACCGAACCGTCCTCACTAGGGCATGGGCATGGCTACCATCAGCTCCAGCTCCTCCAGAGATGGGCACAGCCTTCCCAGCCCAGGCCACCCACCAAAACCTCCAGTGCCGAGAAGTGAGGTTAGCGTCCCGGTGGCAGTGAGCCCCTCCGGCAGCGATAGATTACGGGCACTGGGACTCGTCCCTGCCCACGCGAGGCCAAAGTGCAGCAGTGGGAGGAGAGGGAGAGAAATAAATATCCTGCAGGAGAGAGGTTGATGGAGAGAAGCAAGCTGGGGAGGAAGTGATGGAGGGAGGAGGACAGCGGATCAGATGAAGGTTTAAGAAGCGAGCAAGAAGGGGAAAGGAAATGGAGCTTGATGCAAAACAAGGGATTGATGCTGAGGGAATGGGAATGGCCAGGAAGGAGAAGGAGGGACAGGGAAGGCAAAAAGCCCTCCCTGTGTCCTGCTGTGGCAAGGGTGGGGGTGGCGTTGGTTGGGCTGCAGGGATGGGGGGGATGAGAGGGTCTGCCATCAAGAGAAGCCCGCAGCCAAACTAACGAGACCCAGTCCAGCTGCATGCTGGGGGTCAGACAGGACAGCGAGCACCCACCTGTCCCCCCCCCCAGGATCTGCCACTGGGCACGGAGCAAGGCGACCTGTTCTGGCACGCGCTGCTCGTTGCCAGCTCCCAGTGTCCCCTTAGCACCTGCTCCGGCAGCATCCTCCATCCTGCAGCCACCCAAATTCCTCACCCCACCACCTCTAACCCCATCACCGCTGAGCGAGAGCGCCGTGGGGCGAAGGGCAGCAGGCTCACACGCAGCACCCCTGCACACACCGGCTCCCGGGGGTGCTCCTCCACCTCTGGCTGAGCAGGCGGAGGGAGAAGGAGGAGGAGGGATGCCTCCAACGCAGCCCTCTGGAAGACGACCGGGGCTTCTCTCGTTTGATTGCTTTTGTTTGTTTGCTGGTCTTCCCAGCGCCTCAGTTGAAAGCACAATGCGGGCTGTCCTCCAGCTGCAGCTGATGGGGCCAGCCCTCCGCGCGAGCCAGGGGAGGCAGGGAAGGGGGCTGCTGCTGCTGGGGAAACACAGCCACCAGTTCCACAGGACAAGGAGGTGCCCCAAGCGAGCCCGGCAGGGCTGGAGGGACAGGTGAGGAGGAAGAGGAGGGGACAGCCAGGGCCAGAGAGACAGGGTGGCATTGCCACGTGGGCGCAGGGCTAGGAAGGGGAGCTAGTGGTGAGCAGCATCCACGGAGATCCCCCAGATCCTGCTGCGCTCTGCTTGCTTTCGCTGTTACTCCTTCCCTTCTGCCTTCTTGCAGGCTTCTGCTGGGGAACACATCTTTCTTGCCTGAAGGAAATCAATTTTTCCACTGCTCTCTCTGTACCCGTAATGCCTCATCCCAGCACTGCCTTGGAGATGCTGATAATGGCAGGTCAATGTCTACACAAGAACTGTGCAGCAGGAAGAGCAGGTATGGGTGGGGAAAGGATGCAGGACAAGAAAATAGCATGAGAAAGGAGTTTGGGGAAAAGAACTGGAAGGAGAGAGGAACCGAGGTATGGAAGTCAGGCATGGCTGCATGGAAGAACCAGGAGGGCTGACAGACAGGAAAGCAGGAACGAGATCAACAGACAAGGAGGGACAGTCCCCATAAGGGACTTGGATGCTAGAAGAAGCACGGGGGCTTTTTTGCCCATGGATCTGGGAAGGGACTGAGGCATCACTGCTGGTGGTCACACCTCCATGTGCTAGGACTGCTTCCCGACCTGCAGCCCTCTGCATCCCACCCACAGCTGCTGCCCGCTGGCTCACTCCAGGCATCTTAATCAAGTGCAGGCTCAGTGCTAACAAGTGACTTCAAGCAGGTCTGTCATTTTTTGGATTTGAGACTGGGGTTAGAGGGCTACAGAGGAGAGCAGGGGGCAGCAGCGAACCGAGAAAGCGGGAAATCAATCTCCATAGGATTAACACCGAAGTTCTTGCAGGAGGGAGAAGAGCCCAGCCCCAGGGAAGGGTGACCTCCAGCTTGGCTGCTCCCTCCTGGAGTAACAGTGACCTCCTGTGGCTGCGGGACTGTCCCGAGGGGCCGGTTATCCCCTCCGCACTGGAGCTTTGCAAAGCCAGTTACAGGGCTTTGGCCACCCCTCGCACAGCCAACGGCTGAGATCGCAGAGCCAGGAGTGGAAGACTGACCTGACTCTTGGCTGCTAAGACCCCTCCCCAGGACACATCCTGCGCACTGGTGTCTGCTGTGGGGGGACACCAGGGATGACCATGGCCCCAGCTGCTCATATAAGATGCCTTCACCATCCTGAAGGCAGGGAGACACAGGTCAGCGAGGGCTGTGGGTGGGGGGCAGCAGGACCTGCCAGCTCCATCAGAACCTGTC